AGAAAAAAAAAAAAAAAATTCGAAGGCATTAGGTCAAAATGCTCGTTTTCGCAATAATGAACAAATATCGTCGAATGTGGTCTGCTCCGGCCACGACCGGAAGTCATGAAAACCGAGCATCAGTCAAAAGTCAACATACTATTTTGTACGTGCGATTATCTCGAGCTCTGCCAAATGCCCATTGTGGAGAGACTCTGACTAGGTTGGATGTTAGCTTGAGTTGTCGAGTTGCCAAGTGTACGGTCTTGATCACCCGACGTGTCCCGATTATCCACAACCTTGTTTTTCGGCTTTGGAGTGGAAGGCATTATAGTTCCAACAATCACCTAAATCATCACCAACAAAACCTCATAAATGAAAAAGCAGGGCTAATAAGAGGGAAGGTTTTTCTTGGATAGCCGAACACTTTGGAATACGCTTAGACTATATTTGGTTAAACTAGTTGATAAGGTAGCTTATAACTGAATTTCGAGCTTTGTAGTTGATAGCGTATGACTTATGGCTGAAAAACTAGCTGATATGATAAAAGTGTGTGGTAAAATTAACTGAAAAGAAAAGAAGCGAACTGAGATAAAAAAATTAACGAAATTATTTGAAAAGCTACCGAAAGGAACTTATGAGATACCTGAACTGGGCTAGCAGCAATGAGAACTCCCTCGACAGGACCACCAATAAGACGGCCATCAGGACCCATGAAAGTAACAGTCAGACCACCAGTCGGGCCGTGAGGCTCGTCAGCCTCATTGATGTAAGAACCAGAAAGATTCACCATATCAAAGTGCCCCTACAGAAAATGCATCACATTCTCAAAATTCGACAACAGAAGAAGAAAAAAAACGAGAAGTTTTGTTTTCAAAAAGATCATATTTTTGGCAAAATCCCGTCATTTATTCATCTGTCGTAAGAAGATGTTTACACGTCGTTTGTCTTTTTAGTCGAGTGTGAGACGAAAATTTCGGTAAATTGACTAAATTCAGACTTATGACAAATAAGGAAACATTCAGAGCTTACACACCTCATAAGTCACACTCCCATTGGAGCTCGGAATTTTAATGTTGGCAGCTGCAACATAACCGACGCCCGACAACACAACTATGGCTCGTCGATCTTGTAAAAGTGACAGTACCTTTACTTTGATATCCTGCATAAAAGTTATTAGGAATACATGCAAAATCAAATCAAATAATCTGTCATGATCAAAGTGTCTTTAAACAAGTTCGAAATGAATTCAAACAATCTTTCACATACTTCTCCAACTGCAACATTGATGATATATGGAGTCATTGTTCCAGTTGCATTAAACATAGATCCACCTGAAAAAAAAATTAATCAGTTCTTGAAAAAAATCAGTCAAGTCAAACTCAATTACAAACAAGATAAAATAAATAAATACCTGTGGTTGAAGCTAACTGGTGCTTACGACCAGAACCGGGCGGCCTTCCCCTCGATTTTTGAGTCGGGCTC